CTAAAAGTTTATATGTTGAACATATATTGAGTGCACGATTAACCATACTAATAATAATGGCTTTCTTATATTGAATGGAAACATAGGAATTCCAATTTGTTAGTAATCCAGTGAATGTTGGTTTACGATAAATTGTTGTCTCGAAGCATTGTTTTTTAGATGATCGAATAACTGTACATCGAGAAATTCCAATTTATCATTATTTTCAATCTTTCTTGTAAATTAAATTGATGAATGAAAATCATTAAGAATGGATAATATGTTATCTACATTTGCATCTTTATTAATGAGAACAAACGTATCATCCACATAGCGATACCATTCACATATACCTAATTGTGTTCATTTATCCGTCAATGTTGTTTTCAAGCGAGTGATAAAGATATCAGCAATCACTGAAGCTAATGGAGCACCCACTGCAACACCATTATGTTGAACATACATTAAGTTATTAAAGGTAAAATGTGTTTTAGATGTAGCTTCTTCTAGTAGAGTTCTAAAGTCAACATTCTGCTTACGTTTACGATATTGTTCTGCTCTTGTTAGTTTCAGACATGATTTTTTACATGTCGGATACATTTGATCAAGAACAAGATCAATTGTATAGGCAAGTGGATCATTGGTAAAGAGACTTACTACATCAAATGAAATAAATATCCTATCCACATTTTTTGATGATTTAATTTTGTTTAAAAAATCAAATGAATCTTTAATAACATAAGGACTTGTTTGAAGATGTTTTAATCGATTTCTAAGCATTTTACCTAAACTATATTCAACTGTTTTAATTGCAGACATAACCGGACATAATGGATAATTTTCATTTGGTTTATGTAATTTTGGTAAACCATAGAGACGAGCTGGTCTTGAACCTGTTGGTTTAGCCATATTATATTCTGCGTTAGTAATAAAACCTTCTTTAAGTAATCTTGTTAACAAAAGTGTTACACGATCTTCATTAGTAACGGTTGGATCCTGATAAATCCATTTGAACTTTGACTGATCTTCGAGAAGAGTTTCCATTTTTCTAATGTAGTCATCTTTGTCCATTATAACTATACCATGTCCTTTGTCTGGTTTTGTGATAGCAATATTGGTATCCTTTGCTAATGATCTTAGTATCTGTTTAATCTGTTTGTATTGTTGATTATTCATAGTCATTTCTAATCCCGCTTTCTTTCGAAATGAATTAGCTTTTGAACGTAATTCAACTGCAGCACTTAATTGAGGTGATGTTAATTTAGGTTTAATTTGTTGCTTGAGATCTTTACCTTCGTAATGACGATAATCACTATGTAAATTAATTAGTTTTGCATAAAAATGTTCCATGTCACAAACAAATCTAGAATTATCAAATTTACCTATTGGAAAAACATGATGAAGACCACGTTTAAGAGCATTCTCTTCATCTATTGCTAATTTCCGTAGAGATAAATTAGTAATAGGTTTCAGATCACTTTTTTGTATGTTATCATTATTCTTTGTTGTTAATTGTTGTTGTGATGAATTTTGTAATGAAATACTGATTGAATTATGATTTGATAGTTTTTCAGCTTTCAAAACATTATAAGAACGTAATCGAGCTAATTTACGATTATGTCTTTTTTCAATCTTTTTCATTTGTTTTGTAATAATTTCATCACGTATGGATATTAAACGGTTGAAAATATTTTTTGGTACACTATCTTTTAACATAATTGATAATCTTGATGAATATCGATAGCCATTTGTTAACAATCGTTTTTTATATTTCAGTTCGCCTTGTAGTATACTCTGTGCACATTATTGAACGACTTGTGTTTTTAGAAGATATGGATTCGCTAGACGAACGTGTGCAAATGTTGGTATTAGTCGTTCATTTATACATGTTCTTATAAAAAATAAATCATTACGAAGTTTGTACAAATTTTAATGCACCTTAACAAATTCATAATATAACTTCATCACTGAGGTATATGTGAACGGTATCGTTATGTGGATGATACGTTTGTTCTCATTAATAAAGATGCAAATGTAGATAACATATTATCCATTCTTAATGATTTTCATTCATCAATTAAATTTACAAGAAAGATTGAAAATAATGATAAATTGGAATTTCTCGATGTACAAGTTATTAATCATCTGAAAAACAATGCTTCGAGACAACAATTTATCGTAAACCAACATTCACTGGATTACTAACAAATTGGAATTCTTATGTTCCCATTCAATATAAGAAAGCCAGTATTATTAGTATGGTTAATCGTGCACTCAATATATGTTCAACATATAAACTTTTAGGAGATGAATTTAATGAAATAAGAAGATTTGGTTTAGATAATGATTATTCTTTATTCTTTATTAATACAATTATTGGCATTAAATTAAGTCAACATCATAATAAAATGATTACAAAATTAGATAAACCAATAATTGAAAGTGAAAAAAAGAAAATGTATGTTGAGATACCATTTATTAGATCATCAACTTTAGGTTTAAAGAACAAAATTAAACACCTGACTAATAAACTAAGACCTGATCTCGACATCCAATTCTTCTTTAAACCACCACCATCAATACAAACACTTTTTCAAACCAAAGATACAATTGCAAAACATATACAGTCAGATGTGGTATATTATATTAAATGTAATGATTGTGAACATTCGTATATTGGCAAAACTGAACGTCAATGTATATGAAGACTTTATGAACATGGTGCACCTACAACACCTTCTCAACAACTACAACCGTGCAACCATGAAAGTGATGATCCTAACGACTCTCCAGAATTAAGAAGATCATCACGAATTAAAAACAAAATAGCAGCAACAACAATAACAGCGGCATCAACAAATGATACCAACAACGATGAGAAGATTGACAAATCATTAATTTTTCAACATGAAAAAGAAACAGGTCATCGAATGGACTGGAGTAATTTTCAAGTAGTATATGGCAAGACAATCATTATTATCGTCTGTTGATTAAAGAATCACTGTTGATCAAGGCTTATGAACCTAAACTTAACAAAACAACACACTCGGTACCATTACATGTCTTTCCTGATGGTATACCAAAAGTTCACTTACCGAATCTTGATCATTAATGAAACTTTAAATTGTTTAGTAATGTCGTTGTTGTCTCCTTTTCACCTCTCTATTTTTCTTCTATTTTGTTTGTACAATTTCCTTAACATCTTAATAAATCTTGAAAATGATGACATAGATCATCGAAACGTCGAATTATTGTCTTTTTATTCTAAAATAAAATTTGATAATGCTATACAAAGCCGCTGTTATTTTTTCATTTATTATAAAGATTTTGCCCTGAATAATCACTAATGTTTTTGTTGTCGTCATTGATATATATATACGTATATGTATTTGTTTTCGTGAAATAAAAAAAAAAGAGTAGTAAACACCTCACAAATGTGCGAAGACATATTTTGCTAGTATTTGGCGACCTTGCACTAGAGAGAAATAGATATTTTACCTTATCTTTATTCGCAGAAAAGAGCTGTTTGAGTATCGTACGGAATCAAGCAGATTCTGCCGTTCGATATCAATTCGAAGAAGGGCTATTTGATCGAAATAATATAAATCTCATTGATCTTATTAAAATATTTTCACTGTTTTGTTTAAAACAAAAAAAATAATAGATGAGTTTTTCTGGATTTTCGTAGTATGAGATATGTAATTCGTTTCTCTCGTTGTCATTATTTTTATATTAAATTGCAAGTCGATTTATGCATATTTTATAGGATTACTACATTCACATTATTTGCTGTAGGTCACTAGAAATTTCGATATAATTCTAGAAAAGAGAACATTTCTCGAACTCAGTGTAGAACTTGTTAAAAAGTTTTCTGCCACTTTTTTTATTGACTTATCTTCTTAAGGCCGCTCGCCTCCCCCACTCCAAAAATCATATTTTTCGAAAAAATATCAAAATTGAGTGTTTGTTGTAGGAAGATACGCTGAAGTTTCCTCTTTCAGTTTATGTCTTGAGTTTCAGGAAATAAGCAGGTTTTGGTTGCTCTAAATCATCTTTTTTGTAACTACCCAGTCTTTTTTCGAGATTTTCAGAACTTTTCTGGAGACGCTTCCAGATATTTGGAAATTTCCTAGAAAACTGATTATACTATCATGTTCAGCATGTCAAATTACCTTCGTTTTCAAATTTTCATAACGAAATGTGGTCCCTGTGATGAGTTATAAAAGTTTTTCGGCCCATAGTAACACCTATAGTGACAAATACCTCCATTATTAAAAATCTTCTCTCCTGCTTATCCAACGACCGAAAATTCTAAAATTTTGAGTATGAAGGTTTCTCTTCACGCTTGGTATGATGGCAACGGCAGTTTTCAAGAAAACCTCTAGGACTCTTTTTTCTCTCCATATGGTGTGTAACAACGGTTTTCAACTTGTTTATCGATTTTCTCACATTTGATTTTTATGGGAGTGGTCGATCTTCGAAGAAATTTTTTTTCAATATACTTCATCCTAGAGAGCTGCGGCTTTTTTAATCGATAGATACGTGCATAGTGCTTCGGATGAGGGAAAGGGATTTCACATTTGACCCTCAATAGAAGAACAATCATGAGTTTTCTGAAAAACCTTGCTTAGAATTTTTAGAATTTGAAAGTTTTGACAATCTCAAAAATGAAACAAAATAAAAATTAAAAAATCACTTTCCCTCATCCGGAGCAGCAAGGAGTCCTCTTTCAAATGAGACCAGCCCGAGCGCTTTAACTTGAAGTATACTGAAAAAAAGTTTGTACGCGTGAAAGTCCTATTTTGCTCCTTGGTCCCTGAAAATCTCCCAAACAGTAAGGTTTGAGGTCATGAAATTTTTTTATATATGCACCTCCATGGACCGAGCATCTATAGAAAGTTTCGTGAAAATCCCATGCACCGTATCGAAAATCGATTTTGGAGAGGGAAGGGGGCGGCCTTAATAATTTCCTTATTCAATGTATCTTTACTTTAATGCACTATAAAGTAATTGTATATAATATTTGGAAGACATTCAATAAAGCTCTACTTGGTTAATTGGAAATAAATATTACCTTGTTCGGATTAACCTCATCGTAAATAATTAAACATATTTTTTTAATATTGCATGAAATACACGCACAAACAGATAAAAGTTTGTCCAATATTTGAATTGTAGATGACAAGGGAGATGCTCATGTAGAATTAGTAAAAAGAAATTCAATATTAAACTATTTAACTTTTGTCATACAACAAATTTTCTTTGTTTTTGCATATTATCTTAATATTAATTGCTAACTTAAGTTTTAAAATCACAATGATTTTAGTTTATTTCTTTTAACAAACAATCCAAAAACAATATTAACGAATACGGTTCTTTTTTATTCTATGTTCGATTTTTTCTATTATTATTTTTTGATGATTTTTGTTGTTTATGTCCTTTTCTATTTGATTGTTTGTTTTTATTAAATTTATTGCGTTGTTTAGCTGCACGTTTATCTTTCTTCAAACGTTTGTCAACGACTTTATAAGGTCCTTTTGCACCGGATGGTCGAGCAGCTCCACGTTGAGATTTTTTAGCAACAACATATTTAACATTAGGTTTTTTCTGTCCAATAACGCCATATTTTCGATATAGACTAAAACAAATAAATTTAATTTCTATGAAAAAAAAACACAAATGAAATAAAATTTTCAAATTACTCTTTAATTTGTTTATTCCGTTCTTTATCATCTAAATCAGCATTTTCAAGTAATGGTTCAGCTTTCTTTTTAACTTTTTCAAGTTTACGTAATTCCTTAAAAAACAACAAGAAATCAAATAATACAATAAGTAATAAATAAACTTACACGTCGTTTCTTTCGTGCTTTAGCTTCAGCGACTTTTTTCGTTGGTCTTTGATCAATTTCTTTCATTTTAGCTTTATATCGTTCAACAAGTTCTTTTGTTACAGGTAAACTTGCTCGACAATGTTGTTTTTCTTCTTCAATAAACCATGTAGGTAAACCTTCAATATCACCATAACCCATAAAACTAAATATAAAAAAATTTTATTTTAATAATTTTGATATTTGAAAATGAATACCGATTGTAAGAATGATCAATAAGCTGTTCACGATTCCTTTTTGATTGAGCCATAACATGACCTAATGCTAAATCTTCAGCATCAAGATGAATACGCTTCATAGCTAGAAAATACAAAACAAAAAAAAAAAGTCGGAAAAACTTATCAGCAGATTTCTTATGAGTCTAAAATGTGAAACTCACATGTGTTCTTAAGTTTTATTATTCTAATACAAAATACATTAAGTGAAAAGTCTCTAGAAAACTATAGTTGTTTTTCAAGGATAATCAATCGCTATGAAAACAATTTATCCTACTTATTTCTGCATTTCGAAGAGAATTTTTTTTGTTTGTCTGATGACTTTTCATTTTCGTATTCTGTTTTTCTTAATTTAACATTATTGTTATTCTAACCATTGATTAACTGACAAATAAGTCTATTATACATATCCATTCCATCTGCAGAAGACCTCAATACATTATTATACTTCGCAGAGTCTAGGACAATTAGTTGCAATGTTGAAAAATAAAATCGGCAAAAAAAAACTTTTCTTAGCATTGTAGAGAAACGAAGTTTTCGCTATTTGACAATGAATATACTTTTTCGGCTTCTCGTAATTTTTTTGATAAATTCAACAGGTGAATGTCAACATTCAATTATCGTTTTATAGCGAGATAATCTACGAATATATTACATCAGGTAAATCTTCATTGTTCACATGTCATCCTCATCTTCGCGAAGTGCTGTGTCTGATTGAAATTGACTTTTATGGAAAGTAAATTAGAAATCACTCTTCTATCAAACATGCGACTAATTCTACAGCACGGCTAATAGTCGCTTTTTCTATGCTTTGGTAATCTCAGAAACATTGGTGTTGATTATTTTCGAAAGTTGTTACCTGATTAATTTCATGCGTATAATGTTGATCATATGACGACTGTGACAAATCAATGTACATCACTACCCATCATATAAAATTTTATCTGTGCAAAAATCAAAAAATGAACTACTTAGAACATCTCAAACATATTCAAGCAATTCAAATTTCGAGAAAGACTTTGGAATGTTCTTTAGCAGTCAATAGTTACTATAGGAATATATTTGAAGACTGTTGGCCACTGCCCTCTAGCATTTCTATGAGGAGACAGCCACTAAATCTCAACTTAAAACTTACACTGACAACACTTTTCGAAAAAACATAATGTGAGTTTCACAAAAAATAATAATAATAACAATAGTAAATGTAAAACATACGTTGATCAATAGGTACTTCTTCAAATCCATCATCATTTAATGCACGTTTAGATTTTTTAGGTTTGTCATCATCTTCTGATTCACTCAAATCATCATCTAAATAGATTTTAGTTAAGATTAAATTATTTGATCAACCAAAACAAAAAAAAATTTTTTTTACTTTTTTTTGTTTTGAGGGTACTTTTAGATGGTTTACCTAAATATAAAAAAAAAGAGTTAAGAACAAATTCAATTAGAGATGAACGGTCACTTTCTAAGTTATAAATTAATAATAATTATTGTAAACTTTTTCACGAAAACAAATGCTACATATAATAAAAAAAGTTAACTGAAAATTTAGTTAAGAATGAATAATATGTCTTGAAAACCATGTTTCAAGTCTCAAACTGCAATATTTTATCTAGCTTGTGGTCACCACGTGACACGTTATGTGATTGTCCTTCGAGAAAAGGAATTCTTAGTAAATTCTGCTTAATGGTACTTTGTAGAAACAGACTAAGACTGAAGTATCAACTATTTACTTCAATTTTTTCAATATCTTCTTACTTTCCTGATAGAGTCAAATTTTTGAAATTTGCCATGAAAATTTGTTCCTCATCAAAACTTAAATTGGACGAAATTGTCAACGAAGTTTCACCCGTTTCGGATAGATTATCCCTGAGATATGAATTTCCCCAAAATATCGAGGTCATAGCAAAATATTGCAAAATATCTATATCTATATTATAGAAAAGACTCCTTTGTATTGTAGGATCTATGAGTACAGTGATTCGATCAAGCTCCATTATATGTCA